GTAAGAAAATAAGCTGGTCACAAACACATGTTTGTAAATAAACAAAAGAAAATATGGCCTTTATGAGTTATTTAGGACAAATTTTATTATTAATGCTAGTATACAACGAAAAAGTGAGTAAATTTAATAAGCACAACGTTTGTTGAGTTTGTTTTTCGTTAATTTGCTATTAATATCCAGTTTGATTACTTTAGTGTGTGCTGACTATGGTTGCCATATGACATTTTTCGTTTGTACCATAATTTTCCTTTAAATATACCAAAATAGATTTAAATGCAGCATGCTGAAATGTTTTTTTGCTGAAGTTTTCGGTTTTGGTAGGTTGATTGTTGAAATGAAAACTTTATAATTTTAAAGCTACATCTGTAGCTATATCTATTACATTTTTTTTGGATCAATGATGGGTGTTTGTAGGAGATACTCTTGTTTTTGAATGCGTCACTATGTGATATCACAAATAATTATGAGAAAAATAACTTATTCATTCCGATATAATTAATTTGTATTTTAAAAAGGTTTTTCTTTTCCAAAACCATTCAATTTTATAAAATGCCAAATCGGGGGAAAATGTACCAAGCAGAAAATAAATTGTCAAATTAATCACCAACGGCAACTGTGCAAGTGATCAGCTGTTTCGAAGGTTGCAAGTTTTTGCAAATTTTGCGTTCTCGTACTTCTGTTGCTATTTGGTCTCTGTGAGAGCGAATGCTGCTAAATTCTCAGAACTTTTGCTGCTGGAGAATTTTGTCCTCTCAATACGAGTACACACCTATTAATTCGCCTTGCGCACTACACTCCACCTTCGATAATTTTCCGTGAGAGAAAGCTGTTTCACAACGCAAGGAAAGAAGACCAGTGATCGGACTTCTACCACATTGTAGTAGATCTGCCACTTTTTGGAGAATCTAGCACATCTACCACACAAGGTCTGAAATCTACCACATATTCGCGTTTTTGAGTATTTTTTTTCTCGACATGATTTTCTTAACTTTAAGAGCAAAAATTGTGGAACACTAAACACTAACAACAGGCAGAATGAGAGGACAAAAAAACTGTAAAATTGTAAATTTTCTCAATATTAAATTTTTCGACAGGAAACGTGGTTTTATTGTGTTAAATAATGCCGATTTTTTGAAAGTATTAGCAAATTTCAGTGCATCTAAAGTTTCTAAAGCGTTGTTTACTTTTACTTGAGAATTGTCAAAATCAGCGAATCCCAAGTAGCGATTTCTGGAACGTGCCACATTTGTTCGCTACATCGTGATGTGATAAAAATAAAAGCTGGCAGCACTCCGCAAGGTTGCAGAAATCTTTCAAAATATGTTTGAAAAATATTTTNCAAATTAATCACCAACGGCAACTGTGCAAGTGATCAGCTGTTTCGAAGGTTGCAAGTTTTTGCAAATTTTGCGTTCTCGTACTTCTGTTGCTATTTGGTCTCTGTGAGAGCGAATGCTGCTAAATTCTCAGAACTTTTGCTGCTGGAGAATTTTGTCCTCTCAATACGAGTACACACCTATTAATTCGCCTTGCGCACTACACTCCACCTTCGATAATTTTCCGTGAGAGAAAGCTGTTTCACAACGCAAGGAAAGAAGACCAGTGATCGGACTTCTACCACATTGTAGTAGATCTGCCACTTTTTGGAGAATCTAGCACATCTACCACACAAGGTCTGAAATCTACCACATATTCGCGTTTTTGAGTATTTTTTTTCTCGACATGATTTTCTTAACTTTAAGAGCAAAAATTGTGGAACACTAAACACTAACAACAGGCAGAATGAGAGGACAAAAAAACTGTAAAATTGTAAATTTTCTCAATATTAAATTTTTCGACAGGAAACGTGGTTTTATTGTGTTAAATAATGCCGATTTTTTGAAAGTATTAGCAAATTTCAGTGCATCTAAAGTTTCTAAAGCGTTGTTTACTTTTACTTGAGAATTGTCAAAATCAGCGAATCCCAAGTAGCGATTTCTGGAACGTGCCACATTTGTTCGCTACATCGTGATGTGATAAAAATAAAAGCTGGCAGCACTCCGCAAGGTTGCAGAAATCTTTCAAAATATGTTTGAAAAATATTTTGATATGGATGGAACTGCTTCAACTTGCACTCTATTATACTAAAATTAATTTTTTTAGATTAAAATGTTTGCAATTTAGGTGAAACCTTGCAGAATTTTTTTAATTTTTGTACAAAGTTTGAGCCAAAACTTGAGATCTACCACGTTTTTTTTTGAAATCTGCCACATTTTTCCAGAGTCTACCACACAAATTTTTATTTAAAGTCCGACTACTGAAGAAGACCAAGAAAGTGTTTCTGAGTGGTATGCAAGAACAAAAAAAAACTTGCTCTCAGCTGCAAATTTGGAACGCATATTGAAGCTTTCCTACTTGATCGCTTCATTATTGGCTTAACTGACAAAATATTTGAGAGGATGTGCGAAGAAGATGAAAAACTCACACTAGATGAGGACTTCCGCAGAGCTTTAATTATGGAAATGAAACTCTCCAGCAAAACTGAAAGTGACACGCACGTGAACTACATCATGATTCAATAATACAAGGTTGACAGTTGTCTCTCTCGCACCGCTCCCTTAGCAGTGGCACTGTGTTGCATCTTTGCAAATTTACATGAAAACAGTGTAGCTTTGGTGTGAAATAGAAGTAGTAAGCTTTTGTGCAATATGTTTATTTGTATATGCATATGGAGCATATTTAACTGATGAAAACATAAGCATTGGATGTTTACATCAATCTCATAGAAGTCTTATTTTAATTTTGAGTCATTTTGCAGTTTTTGTACAACTAAATAGCACATAAATTACGTAATTCACGTAGATATATCAATATTACGTTCAACATTTCTTTTAAAATGCCAAATTTCCTGCAAATACATTAGAATTTACAAAAGGAATTTCATTACTAATTGCCTACTTTGCGTACTTTTCTACTACCATTTTCGCAACAAGGGGTTGCATTCTAGCCCTTTCTCTGTCCTTCGTAAATGCAACCTTTCGTAAGGGAGTGTCAAACCGCAGCTGTCAATAATTATTTAACCTTGTATTATTGAATCATGAACTACATCAACAAATCAAACAAAAACAATAAGAAAACGCAAAACGCAAAATCATCAAACAACAGCAGCAGAAACAGCAAGCAACTAAATAAAAGCAATGCATCAAGGCGCATCAATTACAGGTGATAGCGATAGAAGCTATGCTTCTTCTTATGAGCACGCTTGTGTCAAATTATCGTCTGTTTTGCTATATTTACATATCCGCGTACACATACACATATACGTATATATATACCCTGCAAACAAATGCTCCCGAAATCTTTAAGAGTGTCGGAAATTTGTTACGATTCTTTTAGAAATCTGTAAAGAAAAACATATGAGGCGGTTGACAAGAACTAGTAAAGAAATTTCTGTACGATTTCTTAAAGAAAATTCTTAAAAAAATTGTGAAACCTTTCAGAATTCTATGAAATCCTGGTATGCAGGGTATACATATACACACGAATATGAATAGATAAAAAAGATGGTGATGACACAAGGAGTTCATACCAACGGTAAATGTTGTTTTTGTACGATTGCTACAACCTGTAGTTGTTGAATCATGGCAATGCATGTAAACATTGTGTTTGGTGTACTCATCAGTCAAATGAATGTTGATCAGTGTTGCCGTGCATAATTTTTAGTGGTAGCCAAATTCCTTTAAAAAAATCGCTAAAAAATAGCAAAAAAAGTCGTTGTGGCTAAAAATGGTAGCTAAAATTTTTTTCCACATATACATATATAAGTAAACCCCTAAACATTTTCAATAAGTAATGGTATAATAAAACAATGAACTTTGGAAAAAAGCTAATATTTTATTCAACCAAAAACCTTTTTTTATAAAAGGGGTAATATACGTGATAATAATATAAGTGATTGTACCATCAGGCTCGAAGCATATAACTTACCAGCATGCTGGTACAATATTTATATCGAAATGATTAAAGCCGAAATTTCAAAATTTTTCTAGCATTTTGTTAAACATTGTCTTTTTTTTTGTAATTCACAAATGCAATATCGTGAACGTAATCTTCCACAAACACGGCTTTGACTCATATAGTGCAAGAAATTTCCGCCAAAATACTTTTTATTTAGAACATTGAGCTAATTTCACCACTAACGACACCGGCATGCTGGTACAATCACACCACAAGAACATACACGGTCAATCGACTTGATGGGTCATTTAACAAATTTAGCATATTAAGGGCCGTGGACTTATCTATTTTAAACTATAGTTAAATCGTTAACAGATAAGTTAACAGCCCCAACACTTTTACAGTATGTATGTATAAAAGCGTAAGGGGCATATGTATATATATCAGTCTTTCTTAGTTTAAAAATTCATCTCTTACATAGATGCAAAAAAAATAAATTAAACACATACAACTTTTTCATACCAAGTATGAATAAATTCTAAAAAGGGCTAAAAAAAGGGCTAGGGGCGGTTTAAATTTATGTGGCCAAAAAAAGTATGTGGTGGCTAAATCTTTCCACCAAAGGGCTAAAACGGCAACACTGATGTCGATATAAAGAGAGCCGCTGTAACAGCTGTTCGAAAATTGGTCATTTAGCGAATGTATGCAGAAATAAAACTAAAAGTGTAAATTATGTATCAGATAATCCCAACCATAATAACAGTTGCATGAATTCTGCTAATCAAAATTTTTGTATTTACAGCATTTCAAGTGGGAATTCAGCTAACTATTATTATCTCTCAAGAAAATTGGATGGCCAACAAATGGAAATAGCTTGTGATTCTGGCTCACCCTGCAGTTTAATATCAATGTGTTTATTTGAAAAATTAAACAAAAATGTAAGTTTGAAAAAGTGTTCATTGCCATATGTTGATTACGGTAGCAATGCAATAAAAGTTAAGGGCGAATATTTAGTAATAATTGAATATCGTGGTACTAAAAAAAATTTTAATGTCGTAGTTACAGACACAAACAAAATGCCTTTGCTTGGATGCGACTTCTTGAGATTATTTAATTTTGATAAAGTGCAGACCGTAACAGCAATTGAATTAAAAGGTGAAGTTGGCGCCAGAACCGAAAGTTTTCAAAATGATGTTGGTGAAGTTTTTAAAGATGATTACAAATTGCATCTGATGCTAACCCGAAGTTTTTTAAACCGCGACCGGTTCCTTTAGCTTGGAAGAGAAAAATTGAAAACAATTTACGTGATTTGATAAGTAAACATGTTTTAGAGCTTATAGACAATGCTGATTGGGGAACACCTTTAGTACCAATATTAAAGCCCAACGGGGATTTACGCATATGTGGAGACTATAAGGTCACCATTAATAAACATCTCCGTGACTTTCAGTATCCTCTACGTTTAATATATGATATTTTCGCGTCTCTACAGGGAAGTCAGTTGTTTACAACTGGATTTGTCCAATGCTTACAATCAACGGGCGTTAGATGAAGATTCGCAACGGTTGTGTACATGGTCCACACACAGGTTGTTTCAAGATGAAACGATTACCATTCGGGGTTAAGCCCGCAGCACCAATTTTCCAAAAAACTATGTTGTAGTATATCAGGACGATATCACAGTTTCTGGTAGAGACTTAACCGAACATATCAAAAATTTAAAATCGGTTTTGAGTAAACTACAGTTTACAGGTTTACGTTTGAATAGTTCAAAATGTTAATTTTTTCGAGAACAAGTGTCTTATCTTGGATTCAATATTGACAAAAACGGTTTACCTAAAACCGCAAAAAGAATTTCGTCTGTTTTGCAGGCACCTGTACCCAAAAATGTTTCCGAACTAAGAGCATTCGTGGGACATGTGAATTACTAATGCAAAATTTTGCCGAAAAGATGTCACTGTTGTACAAACTCTTGAAAAAGGATGAAAAATTTCATTTATCCCGTAAATGTCAAGACACATACGAAAATATTAAGAAAGAAATCACCTCTGATCAAGTTCTCCTTCATTTTAACCCCAAATTAACTATAGTTCTTACCACTGATGCATCTTCGAATGCAGTATCAGGGATTTTATCACACAAATTGCCTGACAAAAGTTTACAACCAATTGCGTTCGTATCAAGGGCTTTATCAAAAAGCGAAAAGAACTACAGCACATCAGAAAAAGAGGTACCAGCCATAATCGTTTCAGTAACTAAATTAAAGCAATATTTAATAGGACACTGTTTCGTATTGCGAACGGACCATAAACTACTTTAAACCATATTTGGGGAAAACAAAGGACATCCTTTGATGGCGGCGGCAAGAATGCAACGGTGGGCATTTATACTCTCAGGTTTCAATTATAAAATTGAGTACATAAATGGATCGTTAAATAAAGCTGATACTTTGTCAATACTTCATCAACATGCATTTGAACAACAAGATAATGAAAAATCGTTTGTATGTCATATCAAAGCTGAAAATACCCTTAATATAAATTTCAAAGATATTGCGCGTGAAACACGCCGTGATTCGGTTTTATCGAAAGTTTGCGATGCCGTAAAAACAGCTACACTGAAAAATATGAAAGGCGATGAATTCGCTACATACTTTAATAAAAGCTCAGAATAAACAGTCGACTAAGAATGCTTACTATGGGGTTATAGAGTCGTAGTTCCATTAAAATTACGCAAGTACTTACTTGAAAAGATACATGACTCTCATTTGGGGGTTGTCAAAAGAAAAGCATTGACAGGATCATATATATGGTGGCCAAAACTCGATGGTGATATCGAAAGCTTAACCAAGCAATGTATTTCGTGTCAAGAACTTTTGCCAAATAGAATACACATTGACTTCGCTGGCCCACTTAAAGGTTTTCTTGTTAGTACTTATAGATGCGTATTCCAAATGGGTGGAAGTTTTTAAAACTAAGCACATGGCCTCGAATTTTGTTATTTCAAAACCTCGTGAAACTTTTGTCGTTTCGGAATTGTCAATACAATACTTATAGATGCGTATTCCAAATGGGTGGAAGTTTTTAAAACTAAGCACATGACCTCGAATTTTGTATTTCAAAACTTCGTGAAACTTTTGTCGTTTCGGAATTGTCAATACAGTCGTGAGTCGTGAGTGGTAATGGTCGTTACTTCGTCTCGGAAGAGTTTAAAAACTTTTTAAAACTTAACAATATAAAACACGTACTTACGGCTCCAGGGTAACCATCGACCATTGGCCAAGTTGAAAATTTCATAAAAACTTTAAATAAATCTTTAAATGCAAATCTTCACAACGAACACGAAACGAATTTTGAAATAATCTTGAATCGATTTTTAAAGGATTATAGGATAACAAAACATTGTACAACAAATGAAACACCCGCTAAGCTCTTTTTAGGCAGATCCATTAAAACTCGTTTTGATTTTATTAAACCACCTCAAATTACAGAAAATATTTTGTGTAGCCAAGAAAATAGTAAAAAAATTATCCGGGCGAGATTACAAATATCCTAACAAAGCAAGTTGGTCTTCAACACCAATTCGATCTCAGATTGGTCCACGAACTTACAATTGTATATTTGATCATAACAATAGATTAATTAAAAGACATACAGATCAAATTAAAACCGCGTCCACACCGAACATTGATGTTGAGTTGTTGGAGGAGGATCCAAGAACTGAAGTAAATCAATCGCCGTCTGCTGAGAATAATGACGCTACTGAATCCCCACATCGAAATGATCCGAATCAAGAAAATAATTTAAATGAAAATGAAAGGCTGGAAAATATATCTAGCGATAGTGGAAACCATCAGATAGAACGTAGAGAATTACGTCCACGAAACAATGTTAGATATAAGTTCTAGATTTTTAACAAAAACGTATACCATATCAATAAGAAACGAACATGTATGAATTAAATTTATTTGAAGCAACGACTAAGAGATACAGTAGTGATTGTGAATAAAACAAATTTCTTGAGGAGGAGCGTGTTATGTGTTTGCCTAATGTGAACGGAGCCTCACGTCAACATGCCTCCTAACAAACAGATGAGAGTAACTTTGCTTGTGTGTATATGTACATATGTAAGTAGATTTTATTAGATGAAATAAAGTCAGTTGCTAATTGAACTCAAGACTGAACGAATGCGTTTCACTTATCACAGGACATAACAGGTACTGACATGGAATTTTGAACAAAGTTTGGTAAATAGTCGTAACTTATCAAAACTTAAAACCTTCGTATCTCTGAAAATAAATTTTTTTCGACAGAATCCAGAACAGGTATTTCCTTACATATTTAATGCATAATAATAATAATATTTTGGAGCTTACGGTGTTTGCTAAGTGTTTGGCCAAGCTTCTCCTCATATTTTTGCTGTGAGCATTGATGCTGTTGCACAAATGGTTTAGTACATACAAATTTAAAAAAAGTTTTAGCTGAATCTAAATTATAAATTCAAAAAAGGTTACGATTTTTAAAATAATAACTCCTCTATATATGATTGTGTATATCTAAGTGTTTAAATGAAGCTATTGACTTTAGAATAGTCAAATATATATAGTCAATATTTTTACTTCCATAAACTTATGTATGCAAGTGTTAATATCTAATTAAGTTGACCGGCCTTGGACAATTAAGATTGTTACTCTAACTATTAAATATGTATGTTGTGCATTTGGGTCTCTCGTGGCATCTTTCGACCGCTTCAAGTACTTGAATGAAGTACATATTTGATAAAATTGTTCACTGGAGCGAAAATTTACTATTGGTGGATTTCTCAGTGTGTTGCTGAAATGAGGCTTGTGGTTGGGGGATGCTGTTGGTGTAGTTGGTGGTGTTGATGATTTCGGCGGTGACTATTGCGTCGATTATGAGCTCGAGGACGTTGGCCTTCGTTATGTAATTGCAATGATTTACGATGAATCATTTGCTTAGAACTTATTGATTGCTTTCCTACTTCGTCAATGTTTTCATGCAGGTTACGTTTATGGTTGTTGTGGTCGTGGTTATGATTGTAGAGGGTATGACGAAAATTTTGGTAAGTAATATTGTGTTCAGACTGTCGTTTTCTTGCACTGTGCGTTTGCTCTGATTCAATGGCTGTAGAAAATTGGAGTAAATTATCGGGCATCGGCGTTGTTTCTGCAGTAGCATGTTGGCCGTCGGCGAGTAAATCTTCAGTAGGGGTTTTAGAGTGATTAAATAGTTGGCGTCGCAAGTTTCCGCGCAGTTTGTCATGTACTTCTTTCTTGACATTTTTTGGCGCGAAAGAAGCATAGCCCACCAATTTGACATCTAGTCTTGGATATCTGAAATGTATGTACATGTATGTATAACTACATAAATATATCAATATGTATGTAAATGCATCAGTATATATGTATATAAAAGTGTATGTACATAATATGTACGTATTTATGCTAAAATATATCTATACATACATATGTACTTCTTGGATATAAAAAAACATCAGACGTAATTAAATATAGAAGCTTTTCTCTACTGCCTTGGCTTTACACATGTACACACACACATATGTATGTATTAGACCGGATCGGCCTCGTTAAAAAAAAGTTTGTAACTACCAGCACCATCGTCGATACCAAAATTTTGGTCCTAGACACGTTTTGAAAATAAATAAGTAGCCAAAATCGGTTTTCTTGTATCTTTTTATCTATGACATCATTGAAATATATTTTTGAGCGCTATACCTAAAGGACAGTCCTTTTTACCCCTCTGTGCTTTTACCAAAAAAAGGACGTCCTTAATTCCTCCGTCTTCGTCCTTTGAATTAAACTGACTTTTTCAAAAGCCAATTTCGAAATAGGGAACCTCAATAAGTAAAATGGATCTTGTAGAATCTAATTAAATATATCGCTTGGCAGTTATGAACCAAATTTAAGAGTTTATCTTTAATCAGTAATCTTTGAACAACCTTTAAATTACAAACGATCGGAAATGTAACGAAGTATACATATGTATGTACATACTTATGTGTTTAATTCAAAAAACTATATCGATAATTGCCCTTTTTCCTACGAAAACGAAAATATTTACAAGAGTATTATTCTACTCAAAACCACCAGAAAAAGTTGAGAACGCTTGATTTTAAACCCACCAGTTCCATTGAAAAGTAACAATAAACCTCGAATGAGATCTTTGCTTATGATTTGGAATGTCAGCGTCTTTAATGAAAAAAAGCCCCTACCCGACTACTTGAAGTCTTCGATTTCACTAAGGCTACCGACTGAAATTTAAGTATACCGTACCAATAAACACGAGGACAAGACAAAGTATCTTCTGCCATCAAACAAGCAGTCAGTGTACTTGCGTGATTGTTGACAGTAATAATGTCGAAAAAGTAGAGGACTTTTATTTGGAAATCGGTGTATTGAATGAATACACACCGGCCCTGCTGGCTTGATTGTGTCGCACGAATTATGACAAATGAAATCATTTAATGCGGAACGCTTTGGTTATCAAAAGATGACAAAGGGCTTCTCTACGATGCAAGACCGGGTGAGGAAGTAATCAGCTGCATTCGGAATTTCCAAAAAGCATTGACAAAAGAGAGCAACTATTGACCTACTTTTCGGAATTGAGTAAAGCACGGTTACAACGGAAATAAAGAAGGCGAACTTCTGCAATTAAATAATACATACATATCTATTAATTGATATTTTACGTAAAACCAAATTGTTTTGAAAAAGTTCTTTATTTTTATTTGAAGAATATGGCCACCGTAGTTATACTCAGAGCTATTACAAAATCCATCCGAGTCCGAGTTTTCGTGAAGGTTAGGTTAGGTTGAGTTATCTCGGCTGCCCTCATTCCTCAGGAAAAGGGCACACTTAGGTCACTATGGGCCCGTTGTGATGCCATATTAGAGACTCCATATGTTCCTCCTCTTACCTTAGATATGGAACCACTTCATAGCTCAGATGAAGCGCAAAAAGTCATAGATAATGGCTGTATCCAGTTCAGCCAGACATTCGAAACAATAATGGAGGAACGAGCTCTCTCCAAAGCGTTACAGTGGCGTAGGTAGTGGCTCCACGCTTTTGATTTTCTCCTCATCATGCCAGCTACGACAGTATTCGTTTGAGTGCTAACCTATTCTAGCAGCGTGGGTTCCCATCAGGCAATGCCCGGTGAGAATTCCGATAAGATGTTGAAGCAGTGGTCGCTCCAAACGGAGGAGAGGGCGAGATCTACGCTTGTCCCGCTTAGGCCAGATATGTCTTGCTATCCTGCAAGTAGGCTCCGCATCATCATGAAATCTACGAAAATGCCATCACTGAATCTGAATAGCCACGATTGTAGCGTATACTTTGAATACACACGTTCGTAGCACTTCGGATGCAGTGATCGCATTTTCGTAGATTTCACGAAAAATCGGGCTACGATGGATTCTATAATAGCCACCACTACCTCTCAAGGATCCTGGAAAAATTACTCACTCACAAAAATTTTTATTTTTATGGTAACTGTAAATATTTTTCTGCGAGCCAATCTGTATACATACATATCAAGACCGATAGAATACAAGGTTGCGCTGATTGATTTAAAATTCGGGAGAGTAACGTGAATATGACGTCATCGCCGGTGGTGAGAGGTGAGAGAGATCTATCAGGATGTTTTGCATATGCAATGTATATGTATATTACACAAGCAATACACAAAATCTCATATGACGTCATACTTCTGTCAAAATTTCCAAGACAGAGTTAGCGGTATCACAATCAGCGCCACCTTCTGTATAGTTGCGATCCCGTACGAGTCCGGACCAGTCAGAAATAGTCAGATTTTACTGGAGATCGATCCCGTCTCGGTTCTCTGACTATTGAGAGTACAAAAAAGAGAGTAAATACCGTTCTCTCTCTGTCACAAGATTTAGTCCGAGAAATATTTTCTGGTAAATGGGTCAAACGATCAGCTGTAGTGTGTTTGGCAACCATATTGTAATCAAAAGAAAAGTGCACTCTGCTAATTCATGTTAAAAGTATTTAATTACTTGTTTAAGTGGATTCTAATGAATTTGAAAGTATTTTTGGTTATTTACATGTGTGAGCTGAGTGTGAGCAAAAATTTACAACCAAAATTTGGATGTTATGTTGAAGTTGACAGAAGTTACCATTTTTTACTAGAAAGCGATCCCGTACTTTTCAATGTTACTCTCTCGCTCTGAGCGAATTTTTATTTTTTGACAGTTTTACTATTTTTAGTCCGAGGAATACGGGATTGCACCTTTTTTGTTTCACCATGGATAGAATACATAATTGCGCTGATTGTTGTGAAATTCGGGAGAGTAAGATGAATATGACGTCATCACAGATTTGCAGATTTGCCAGTGGAGAGAGCTGAGAGAGATCTGGCAGTATGTATATGTTTTGTATACATATGTACATGTATATGTATATTACACAGGCAATACACAAAATCTACTATGACGTCACATTTCCGTCAAAATGTGCAAGAGAGAGGTAGCGGTATCACAATCAGCGCCACCTTCTGTATTCGTTTCAACATGCATACATTTACATATACATACATAGCATGATAAAAACATAGTAAGGTAAAACCGTTCTCTCAATTCGTCGGCCATGTTTTTTTTTTTGAAGTTTGCCAACATTTTAAAATCATATAATATTTAGAGTAAAAAAAGGAATTGTTCAAAGTTGTTGCTGTTTGCGATTGAAAATGAGAGTGTGTGTGTGAGTTTGTGTGTAAAATTTTAAAATTAAATTGCTTGCAAACGTCAAGAATTTGAAAAATTCCTCTCAGCGGTTCTACCTTCCTATTTTTTTATCATGCATACATAGAAGTCTTTGCAGGCATACATACAATCTTCATTTGAAGTTCTCGTAGTTTTGCTTACCTTGGCACTTCGTGCGCTGCAAAAGGAGACATAGGCGTGTGCGGTCCGTAGTAATTCCACGGGATTGCAAATTCTAAAATTTAAAAACACAAAATGAAAATGTCACGAGTAGCATTATAAAATTAAATTTATTTAGCCCAGCAAAGAAGCACAATTATGAAGCAAACATTTCGTAATATGGTGCAGTACATCAAATATCCATACGCTCGTATAGCCACACACAAACACATACACAAATGTATATTCCCTAAAAAAATTTTAGGACCAGGTGGTCTACTGCATACTCGTAACTTGTTATGCTGACCTCGACTACGTCAAACGTAAAAAATTCATATGTATATCCTCCTCAGTCCCGAGACTAAAATAATTGAAAAACTAAAAAAAAAATCATGTTTTTGCGTTATATTCTTCCCAAATAATTAGAAAACCCATTTTTTTTTATTGTAGCATATAAGGATTCTTAGCACTGGCAGGTGCAGCCAGCTGGACATTCGGATCGTATGCCAACGAAAAAGCAACTAATTTTTAAGTTAAGAGTATTTTAAAACATTCAGTTAATTTCAATAAACGGTTAACTTAGTACTAATTTCTTACGAAGGGAATTCCATAAAACAGTGTCTATCGCTGGCAATGCACAAAAACACATTACAAGAAACGCATTTGAATCTGGTTTTTTGGTTACATCCTTCTTTACGGCATCTCATAAATTTGTTTTTATCCTGGACACCACAGATGGGTAAGTGTCTATTTTCAGTCCTTCTCACATCTTTTGGGGGTAGGGGCTGTATGGACCTAACTCTTTTTGTTGAGACATCGTCTTCGATTTCGATGTCACTTAGCCTTCTTTTACCAGCACATGCGGACAAACATTCTCCTACGTACATCTTAAAATCTAATAGGTCCATCAACTCGCACCTCCTTGCACCACAGGAAAATTTGTCTTTTTTATAAAGAACCCAGGAATTACACAGTGCGAGATCAACCATATGCCAAAAAACTCGTGTGGGCCACTTCTTTGTTCTGATGTTAATACGGTAATAGGATATCAACCTGTCCGCAAGATCTACGCCTCCCATTGACGTGTTGTAACTTGCTACGAATACGGGGACAATTGACATTTATGTAATTTTTGGCTTTATCCCATCGACGAACAGATATAAGTGGTCGTGCTCCAGTCGACGTGGCCGCCATTAGAACCGAACGACTGTCCATCCATTTTACAATCGCTAGTTTCTCATCTTCTCTCACAAATTCATTGAAGGTACCTCTGCCTCTTTTTAGAAGATCATGGTCGGTTGAAAGTTTTTTTCGCAGTTCTTTGGGGACTCGGTTTTGTTGAATCGTGCCCGTAGCATATATTCCATTTTCCAGTAAAAACTCTAGTAGTTTTATCGAAGTAAAATATCGGTCAATAAATATTTCGCTGCCTTTACTAATATTTTCTGCAAGTCTTTGCACTACTGTTCCTCCGATACCTAAATCGTGGTTGCAAAATTTTTCAAACCAACAGGACAGGGTTTCCCCTTAACATATTGTTTCAATTGCGTGGTACCAGAGAATGGAATCATTTGTTCGTCGATGCTCAGTTTTGCTGGCTTTGGTAGCAATTGACATTTTTTCAAAACGGCTTTTATTATTGGTTCAACTTTCCACAATTTGTTGTTTTCTTTTTCTTGTGGTGTAGCTCTTAAGTTGTCGACAAAATGCATATAATTTCTTAATTTAAAAAATCGATCCCTTGGTATCTGTGTAATGGCTGGAACATTAATAGCAGGTCGGTAGTACATCCTTACGCGCGGAAGTTTCATGCAACCAGCAAGTATGTGGGCCCCAGATAGTTTCTTGTACTCATTATAGTTTGAATACAAATTTTGGCCGTTTTCTAGAGCGTACGTATTACTTTGTTGTGAAATTTCGCGCCAAAAATCGTCGTCAAAATACTCCGAGAAATATTGGAAAGGTGTCCACTCAAATCTATCTTCTGCGTTCCATGCCTCGTCGGCAGCGGGAGTATTACCCACGACAAATTCTTTGGCTAGCCATTTAAGCGGTTTTTTATTTTGAAGATTTGAGGGGCTTTCATTTGCATCAACCAACTCTTGTTCAGCAATATTTTCTTCTTCATTATCAGATTCTGCATTGTAGTCAGAATCGGAATCACTTGAAGAAGCCACATTCGAACAATTAGGAACGAGTTCCAAGTCTACATCGTCGGACAAACCTTCAAAATCACTGTCCATGAGCATCTCCATCACCTCTTCTTCCGTAAAACGTTTTTTCGACATGATAGCTACCAAATGTCCAGCCCACTGAACATTTAAGAAACAGTATTCATATCCGAATTTTAATAAACTTATTTAAAAGATTTTTTATTTACCTTAAAGAACAAGTATTTTTCGATTGAATTTAATAAAATATTAAACTTGATTTGAAGAAATATAGCGAAAATATTAATTTGAAATTACATTCACAAGCACCACACGTTTTAACTGTTCACTTCTTGGATCGTATTACGACAGTATTGCCACAAACGCAAAAAAAAAACAATTCAATTGTAAACTTAAGATGTCCAGCTGGCTATAAAGTTGGATCGAATTGAAATAAATTTAAAATTGTTTATTATATGTCCATTTAAAAAGTGTCCAGCGGGCTACACGCGAGGACCGAGGAGGATATGTCTGTATTTTTGCAAAATTTAGCAATATTTTTTCGAAATTGAATTTTGCATAAACTATATTTTTTTCTTTCATACTTTTCACAAGAAAATGGGTACTTTGAACTACAATCAAGCCGAATCCATAGTAGCAATATTTTTTTCAGTTTCATCGAAATTAAAATCATGTCCGTACCCACGATACAAAAAAGAAGGCAGTTTCAATAAAAAACTTTTGACGGATAATAAAATTGTTTGAAGTTTCACAAGTTGTGAGTATTATCAACGGCCTTGCCCCTTTGATAATATTAAAACAATAAATCGGAGTATGTTTCTTCCCATATTTATACCAATGTTATAATATTTCAAATCAAACCCGACTATTAGTGTTTGGTACTTTTATTACTTACGTAGATCGCACTATTTTTATTAAAAACTTGCAGACCCGGCGAACTTCGTCTCGTACAAAATTAATTTTTTTATTGAAACATTTTGGTCCAACATTTTCACAAAACAACTCACGTTCGCGATTTTTCTGCTAATATAAAGGTTGGGTGGTCATCTTAAATAACTTCCCCAACCGTCGAATTTTTCGGAAAGATGTTTTTCTTCCCCTTAGCGATGCATATAAAGAATACGGCCAACATAAGAATATAAATATGGTTTTTAGTAATAACTCGATTCCAGCGCAACCTATCGGAATTTTCTCCGTAGCATTTTTGCTTGCGCAAAGACAAACACAACTAAAAAAAGTCTACTTAAATCGGACAATCCGTTTTCGAGTTATGGGCGGTCATACGTACGCAAATTAGTTATATATATATAGAGATATAGAGAAGATAAATATGTATGTAACAGGGTTGTTGCGAATATTTGAATTCGCATTCGCAACCGCGGAGCTTCCGCCTTAATTTTAACATTCGCATTCGCATTAATAATGCGGATCTTTTGAGAATGCGAATATTGAAGGAGCCGAAAATAACAGTTATTTTTTTACGAGTTAAACTTGGGCAAATATTTTTTATTCACAACTAAAAGTCCTTTCCGGATAATAATCAAACCACTTATCCAAATTAAACAAGTTTGGTATCAAATGAAAGAGGACTTAAATAGCTTTAAAACTGAAATATCTAAACGAGGAAAGCCACACATTGAAAAATATTTCAATAAAAAATTTTAATTAATTACCATAGAACAAACATGTATATGAATTTCTTTAGTATTTAAAGATATAAAAAAAATATAAATAGAGGTGGTAACCTTCGCTCGTTATTTCTGTTTAAAAGCTATTTCAGTCCCCTTTCACATGATATTAAATCAAAGCATATTCAACAAGGTAGAAGTGACAATACAGTCGAACTCTCTCATACCTGACTGTAATGTCAAAAAATGTAAACAAAGAAGTTAACCCTTTGTTATGCATTTACCATATTTGATAAAACTCAACATCTTTGAAATTAAAGTTTTTGTAAATATGAAAATATTTAAAATCTCATTAGAATCAGCTTCATTTTATGTATTGAATTTTCGATTTAATGTAAATATGGGAATGCATACTTACACAAAATTACACACTAAATCAAACACACTAATTTATAAAACCGTTTTGACAATTTTCTTGCTTTTGCTATCCCAATGTTTTTGAGCATTTATTTTTTTATTGAAATACTTAATTCTAAAGTATATTAGTCATTAAAAAAGTTTGATTCTTCTAAATTTACATCAGAACTTAACTTCAATAATTTAGCTATTAAATTTTTGCTATTCGATATTTCGTTTCCATTAAATTTATTAAAAATTACTTTCAGTTTCTTTATGTCAACAAGGAATACTAGTTTAGGTTTTATCAGACCACCATTTGAAATTTGGCCTATCCATGTATGTATATGAAAGGGAGATTTTCTTTGCAGATTCGGTATGATAAATCCTGCACCTGGGACCAATCCTGCGATGGGCAACAAATAAAGTCACGACCACATGTGAAGAGTCTCCTAATGAAACATGGCAGCAATTTGCCCACCGTTGCTGCTTCACTTGACAATTCGAATGTTTAAAATAACGCACAAGTTTGTTGTCCAGGCTCTTGACTAACACAACGCACCGCTCGCAATTCCTTTTCATTTTATTATGTATTTAAAATCAGTCGCACAGCTCACAATTGAAAATTTATATAAAAAAAAATTTTTGAATACTATAGGGTTAAGATTTGACATTTCAGTCGCAGTTCAAAAGAGAGAAATGTCGAAATCACTTCTACCTTGTTATGCCTTGATATTAAATTTGTTTAATTTTGATAAGCTGTTTGTTTATTATCCAGAAAAAACTTTTATTTCGGAATAAAAAATATTAGGCCAAGTTTAACTGGTAAAAAATAACTGTTATTTTCGGTCCCTGGAATATTGTGCAAGTGCACTGATAAA